GGAACGAACGAAAACGCGGTCAACGCGGCTCAATCAAGTTTTCGGAAGATCGAGAAAGCGCGCGCGCACACACGCGCGGCGGTCGAGATTACCGGTCTCGCATCTCTCTCGGAACGGTGATCACGGACCTCGCGATGATTGATCGCTGACGTTAATTGGTAAGGATACGGTACACGCGACGGGCAAGGGCGTAGTCGCAAGTTTTCACGATCTGAGATCACTCGTGGGAGGGCGGGGGTGGGGGTGGGGGGAGGGCGGAAGAATTAAAATTGCAACGATCGACAACGTTATTGTAGCATCGTGCGACTTTTGGCGGTCATTGACTGTGGAAGATGAATTATGAAAAGTTCACACGTATTTGTTCATATTCACCCCTATATACTTCTTCTTTCTAATATTTCCTACAGATTTATTATCTGGCAAAAGTCAAATTTTATAAACCCTTGACAAAACTTCGCTGGTCTTTCTGATCAGAATTTACTTTTAACAGGAAAGTTGTAGTGAGAGATGAAGGGAGAGTGTTAAGAGAAAAATCTTGAATAAATTGTGCTTGACTTTGACTGGTTGAGAAATGACATATTATTGTTACAAGAGCGAAGAAACGTGGGAAATGGATCGAAAAGTCTATGAAGAGAAGAGGAAAATGTAATCAATATGGAATGTATACAATAGTTCTAAAGGATCGAAAGATCATTCTATACAATTTATAAACAAAAGTTAACTGAAAAAGAGAGTCACTGATGTTAAAGAAACGCGTGGAATATAACATTGGTAAGTTCAGTGTTCCGATTAAAATAATTGGATTAACCTACACGATTTAATAGTGAATTATTAACTCAAGTAGGTTGGAACTGCAAGTAATTCTTGAAAATTATTGCAATGAGTCTACGAATTTTTGCTTCACATTGAAAATTATCCTCAGAACGCTTTGTATTTTTAATACTCAATAGATAATAAAATTCTTGTCTGTATGAATAATCTACAAATTCTTTCTTATACAAAGTTCTGTTTCATTTCTCCAGTTTTGAAAGAAACATAACGCTTGTCCTCCTAAGCGTGAATGTACTTTCATTTATTTAAATTAATCAACACCTTGAGTTTACCAAATCACAGAACGAAATTAGCTCTGTTCGTAATATACACTTTATCGAAGAAATGTTACTCAAACCGCGAAAATTAAAGCGACGCGAATCAAGATAAAGGAAACGCTTAAACCCACTTATCGTTTTAGGTATCACAAACACCTTTCGTGGAAGGCGAAACTTGTTATTTATCGTTGCTCATGCTTTTTATTATCAATTGGCAACGGTGACCTCGTGCTCACGCTCGTTTCCACTCGATCGACGATTCGCAATTGATCAACGCAACGCTAACGTACCGTGTTAAATCTCTCCCTGTAAATTTTAATATTCGTTTAAACAGAAAGAGAAATACAAAAAAAAAAAGTCGACTCGGGGATCTTTGTCTTTGCCGCGTTAGACTTTGTACGAGACCAATAAAGAAATCGGAATGTCGTGTACCGTAAATAGGTTAAGCACTCGTAGACAAGCGTGTAAACACTGACCACATGGAAAACGTACGTTCACCGCCATGGATTCGAACACGTGTAAGAGGGATGTTAATGGGCCAACTGCGTAAGAAGGCAAATATCAGCATTATCTATTAAAAATTTTCAATTTTCATTTCCAGCGCACGCTTAGGCGTGGCGCGCGTCTCTTAAAATATGAAATGAAATGAAAGAATCGAAATTACGATTTAGATTTGCATCTTTCTAGTTTAATGTTCGATTTGAAATGTTTTAGATTTAAGTTTTTAGACTCTGAACTTGGACTTTTTTCACGTGATTTTAAATACAACGATTCAGGTTTAGATTTTTGTCTAGATCATATTCAAATTATTTGAAAGTCGCACTTTAATCCTCTTTTGCTATCCAAGAGTCGGTATTGGCTTTACGCAGGAAAGATATTTCTACTGTAAACCAATATTATATATTTCATTGAAATTTTTTAAACGTTCTGCTTCCAATTTTTTGTAATACATAGATAATAAGTATTTTGAAACAAAATCGGCAATTAAATATCGTACGAATATTTCTGCGATTCATCGCTAGTAAAATTGTTAAATTTGACATTCCACAGCTTATAATAATTTCCATTGGGATTAATTGATATCGTCTCTTGGAAAATACACCGGCGTGGTTTTAATGAAAAATGGATAAAATTTAATAACGAAGGTATCGCGACGGGCAATCTTGTGGTTGTAATAAGCCATTACTCTTCCTATCAATTTTCTTGCGCGTAATACGGTCACCGATGAAAGGAAGAAGCAATAAACATCCGATGGGCTAACTAAAAATCAATTCGAGCCGAGCATCGTTTCTACAAATCATCGGCCGTCTAACAGAAAACCTATCTCAACCACGTCGTTTACAGTTGATCACTGAAGAAATAATTCGAAGTTGCAGGGATTGACCCCCTTCCCACGAGTATCGACGCCACTTTCATCGTGACTTTAAGTGCTGTAAGTTTCAGTGATCGCAATCAACGATGTAGCGGAATTCGTACTTGAATGCGTCTCTACCTTTTACTTGCAATACGCTAAATAAAATTCTCAAGCATCTCTGAAAGTTGAACCTTCGAAAACATTTTTAACCGCATGAACATTTTTCGTATTATACATAAAAAGAGAAAAGGCACAGATAAATCATGTGGAGTTCAAGTTCTCTTGTTCGCTGTTTTCTGAAGATTAAAAAAATATTCGAAGATATACCTAAATTAGATCAGAGTTATAAGAATAGAATAAAGATTCGACGAGATTTTCAATAATACATTAAAATTATTACCTTCAAGCTTCAAATATTTAGAACACACTTATATGATTCTAATTCGAGACTCGAAAGTTCTATATTATCCACATTTAGAATAAAGATCCTATAAAATTTGACAGACTTTCTCAGCTACACGCTAAGATTATCATTACGCCGATTCTTCATTTTTCACGCGAAGATAGGAAATTTTAATTGAACCATTCGAAAATAAATATCTTACAATCGTGACACAAATATATTCCAAAGTTCCACATTATCGGTGTCTGTATAAATCAGTGGGAAGTGGAATAAGGCGGGAATGAGAGGCGATAGTATCGAAGAGGCGATACGAAATGGCCGAAATCGAGGTTCTCCTTGACCGTGGCCGATCCGTTAAGGTAACATAAGGAAAGGTGCGGTAACACGAGGTAAGATAAGGGCGTCATGCGTTGGTTACCGTTGGGTGGCGCTGGATGGTTCGCTTGGAATGTCGTTTAGCGACTTCCCTCTCCCACCATCGTCATCCAGAGCTCTTTCTTCGGCTTCTCTCCCGGCTTCGTCTTCTCTTCGTTCGACTTGTACGTGCCTTTCATACCCGAACACTGCCGCGTATCTTTGTACACGGTGATTGTAATCGTCGAAGGGCCCTCGGTCGCTACCCTCTATCGAGAAACGGCAGGTTCGCCGTAATCGTGCGTTCTATTTTTCTGATTCGGCATGTACTCGGTGGTCGTTGAAAGTTGATAATTGAAAATGAGAGATTTTTGAAAATCAGAGGAATTTCGAGGGTATTCCAATTGACTGGTTTAAGTGTGAAGGAGAGATGGTTGTACAATTATAAAGTAACTATGGAATAATATTTGTAGATGTTTATACATCGGTATTGGAATTTTGGAATCGCTTGAATTCGACGAAACTATCTGACAAAACAATTGTACAATTGTTGGCCATAGGCTGTGCTAGAATATATAACTTAAACGATAAACTATTTAACGAATTTTGAAATGAAATTTAAGAATCGAAAATTTAAGAACTTTTAGTAAAAGAAAAAAATGTGACATAGAAAGAAGTAAGAGATTCAATCGAGCTATAAATACTTATTTAATAAAAGAGAAGTCTGATACAAAAATTTGCTTCCAAGTGCACAAAAAGGAAGTGTACTGTACGAGTGCAAATACAAAATTATTCCTTACCCGAGGATGAAACTGCACGCTTTGTCAAAAATTCGATGAAATTTGCCAGCCTGATCGAAACACCAGTTAATACGAAGCAACGTTTCCCGTAACATTTTGATTACGATGATATTTCCCCACTAAGACGTTTCAATATGATTATGCAAAGGTAACGAAGAACGCACGATTACCGTGGACCGCGAAAATCCGTGATACACGCGAGGCGATCGGCATCGGGGCAATTTATTCGGGGTTAATGGTGGCATGAAACGGCAAATCATCGAATATTGTGGCTGAATGGACGGCCAAATAACACGTTCTTTGAACGGACCAGCTGTAACCATTCCGAACTAATCCGCGGCGTAACAGTGGCAATTACTGCTTTTGCGTAAGTAACGGACTGAAGATTACCGATGATTACCACCTCGGCTATTCCTTTATCGACAGCTCACTCTCACGCTACTTCTTCCCATAACGCGCGTATCCGATTGGCTAGCTTCAAGAAAGAAACGCGTATTTTTAGGATTCGAGCGAAACGCAACATTCACCAACGCTGTCATCCAACAGCGCGGTAAATAACGGAGAAATATGTATTTATACAGGGAGGGGATTAACGTTTTAGCGTGGGTTAACAGAGGTACAGTTATAAATTGATACACGGATGATGAATTTAACTGAAGGATTAGATGCTTCTGTGAAAGAGAGAGAGAGAAAGAGAAAGATAAAGTAGTCGTCTTGTGTCGAAACGAAATTTCTATCGTTCCTTCTTTGCTGTATTTATTTACTTTTACGTTTAAGACAATTTTCGAGAGAAAAGCTCGATGTCACCATAAATTCAAATCGATGAATAAATTTTTCTGCAGTCGAGTTTTCTGATGAGATATTTCGGTAGTAGTTCGTAGAATCGCTCATGGACTCGAGACGCGTAATTCTGAAAGTCAGCTACGACGAATTTGACTACTTTCTAAATTTTGAACGGCCGTCTGTCGTTGGAAGGCCGAAATAGACGACGGTAAATCACTTTCTAATCTGCAGTAGAAACAGACGTCCGTCGTCAGACGAGTCGATTATCGGTAGATCGTGGATTTTCTTGCATTTGCGGGGAATTCTCTGGTTTATAACGGAATGCATGCACTATGAAAAATATATATACATCCGAAGTATAGTGTTTTCTATTTAAGTAGGTTAAAACAATTTTCTGCCAATTCTCAAAAATATAAATTTGCATAAAAGTCTACTAATGAGTGTATTAAATTTGTACGAGTTGCTTCATAACATCAAAAGGACTAATTTTATCAAATAACATATAATCAAACAAAGCAAGATTATAAATATTTATTAACTCTCGTATCTTGTGTAACATTGAAAATCACGCAAAACAACTAGTTACTTTTTAATTAGGCTTCATGTATTTTTTTTAAATACAATTGTGTAATAAAAAACTAACGTAAAGTTGATCTAAAATTTACTAAATATTTATTTAAAAAAAAAAACGCACGAAATTGAAAAGAAAATATCTGTCGAAGAGATATGACATCATCCGACTCTCTCTAAATAAAAGTATCTAAAAGAAAGCAATCAAAGTCGTATAAATTGCACGCTGAAAGCAGCGATTTAACGCACCTGATGTCATGATTAGAAACGCACGAACACACCTATCGAGAGATTTTCTCGGACGTCTAGCTATCTGATCGTAGCCTAGAGCGAAATCGATTAACAAAAGTTCACAAAGCGCAGTAGGAACGAGCAAACTGTTTCGGCTGTTGCTCGGTGATAAATAACAATTAAAGTCAGCCGATATAATTATGAAATGTACAATACAACAATTAAAATTCGATCAGACTTAACAATATTACTGAAATTATTCTATTCCATTATTTGAATTCTTCCCTCTTTTTGCAGAGTCGTGTGATACAAAACTTCAACATTTTTTTATCGTAACTTAATAGCTGGTCCCGATAAAAATTAAATTTGTAATTGCTGTAAATTTTTACGACATACGATCTTAAAACATGAAGGAAAATCGTTTTCTTTTTTCATCTAGTTTTTCTATCAGTGAAAATGAGAAGACAATTAATATTGAACGAATGGACAGTTTAAATTTACTTAAAATGGTATTGACTTCTACTCTCGCGAAAATTTAACAAAATAATAAAAAATTCCGAAATTAATATCACCAACGTACAATCAAAATTTTCCAATTATTCTTCGAAAATACGTAAATTCACTGTAATTCTCACTTTACACGGAGAAGAAAAAGAAATCCTGGAATGGCAAAAATTTCGAACTTCTAATCGCTGGCACCGGAAATATCTGCAATTTGCAGTTTCGTCGGCTGCATTAATTTGCGTTAATTCCGGGCAAACAAACATCGAGGCAAACATATTATCGAAAGCCACGCTGTGTAACAACTTTGCGAGTGTATCGCGAGTCCGCAAACAGATCGGTCGATCGTTTAACGCGATCGGGTAATCGATGCGCTTTGCGGCGGCGTTAATTCCCGTTGGTCGAGCAGGGTTTACGATTCCGTTTGGTTTACCGATTTCTAGACCGCAGACCGCGGTTTTCGCTGATAGACGGCGTTGAACGAAACTGAAAAATGCACGACAGAAACCTGCCGTGGCAAACTAGTTCCCCGTGCCCCAGTAAATTCTTGCTGCGTCCGATGACAAGACACGATGCGTGTGATCGGTAGCCCGCGGCTTCCTCCCGAGGAATCTTTACATTATTTCGTTTCGCTGTGCTCCTTCTTTCGTATTGGTTTCTATTGTTTTCTACGTACGCGTGTAGCATTCTTTGCGAGAAAAAATGCGATCAATTGTAGACAGAAGAGATTCTTTAGTATTGTACTCAGTGGTTAGATTTGAATTAATAATATAATTCCTCTCGAGAGTATATTTTTATATTAAATCTATTTTTATTAAACACTCTAGCTTCACAAGCTTGACTTCTTGACAAGTAAGCAAGAATTTTGGCTTGGATTTTATTATTAGATTTTATTCGTAGCTTCTTGAATTGAGAAGTTCAATTTTTAGCTTTCATGTTAAATCTTTCTTTTATGAAACATTTTCTTCGTCAAGTGCATTTCAGCTTGTAAATTGTTTTGCCATAATTGTTATCGCACTTTTACCAACGTACATTCATTTCGTGCGTGTATTTTTATGATTATTTTTCTTTTATACTCTTTCTTCTATAACCTGAGGGTGAATGAGCTGTTCGAAAAACCGATATCGGTCTGACCATCAATCGAAACGAAATCGAATACTTCGGTTCGCATCTAGTAGGCGTGCAAGAATCATGTGCAGTGATTACCATCTTTCTCGTGTTGAACACTATTAATCAAGAAGTCCTCGAGACGCGGTTTCCGTACGATCGGCTCAAACAACGTCGACAAGACAAGCGTAAGTATCTCGACGTGGATATCTCGAGGATTCTATTTCGAGAAAGCTGAATTATTGAATTTATTTTTGGCTAATGAGATACGGCCGATACGATCATTGGAATTTCGTCGCCAAACTAAATGTACTTTCGATGAATCGAAACATAAAACCGTTTAAAATTGATTAGCTTGTATCTCTTCGTCAATCTACTATTATAGTTATCGACACGATGATTATTGAAATAAAAATGAGGACGATTCGTTGACTAAAGATAGTCAAATAATTGTACGAATGTCTAATCTCAACATTCTGACGCTTCTAAAAATGATAGCAGATTTAAACATTTTAATGTTTCCGAGTGTCGCGCCGAGAGAGCTTGGAATTCTCTAAATACTATTCAAATGGCGGCCAGCAGTGTCAGATTCCCTAAATTACACGAACACCTAATTCCAATATAATTTTTAACAAAATCACGAATGTACGATCCTGAGACTCTGAAAATAAAGATTGAGAGAACAGTGAGAACGAACACAGGTGACAATTTCTAAAAATAAGTCCCAACTGCCAACCAAAAATGTACAATTATTCTCCTCTCGAGAAGAGTCCAGTACCAAATTTGTTTCCAAAAACAAATTTTTACCAATTCTAAGGAAAGATTTTAATTGCACCGAACGATTTAGAGCATTTATCGAGAGGTGGATAAGAAAATCCGCAGTGAGAAAACGTTTAATTGGCGACGCATCGGCTGTTAGACGTTTAATTAAGTTTCACATGATTGGATGTGTGATTAAGCCCTTGTCCTCGGCCGTGTCTCCTTCACCGGATCTCGTGCCGAGTGTGTTCCAGTGTCGAATGCAACTCTTTTCACAATCGACGACGACGCCTGGCCGGTGAATGGAGCCCGGTGGCGTAATTACAGTGGCAGAATTTACACCGGCATAAATTACGGGCCGCGAGTCGACGACCTATAACTCTAGCTAGCTGGCCCGTTTTCACCTTAGCGCGAATTAATTGTGGCTGCTGGCGTGAATGGGCATTGACGGGAAAGCGAAATGCAACGTACCGGGAACTCATTTCTGGCCGCGTTTTAATTAATACGTTCACCACCTGCCGCGAGCGACCGATTACGATAACGAACCTCCCCCGCGTCGTCGAGTGTCGCGATCTGATAATATCCTTAAATATATTGCCGCGTATTCACGACGATTTCTTTGATTCGATAGAAAGAATTTTTCATTTCGATTTTCAACGTCTGTTAAGTGTAATTATCGGATTGATGCGTTTGAATTTCTTCTAGAGGCCTCGAACAGGCGACTGCGAAATTTTTGATTTGCACAGTCGCTCACGAAAGTATTCAAACATTTTTTTGAAAGCACCGAATATTTATATTTTGATGTTTTATCGAGAACACTGTGATTAGAGCGAAGAACTAATTTTAAAATTATTTAAAAATATTTATTGCAAATATGTATTTAGTAAACGATTAGTACGTAGCAAATGTATGACGAATTAAATGTAATTTCACTGAATTCTGAAGCTCGAACTATCTTTATATACTTGCTTCGAATTTCTATTTATGTTTCAAATTTGATTAATATGATTATAACAGTCGAATTTTATTTAAACAACTCATGTAATGTGTTGTTTAACACTCGTTAAAAAATTTGAATACTTTCACGAGCAATGTTGAATTAAGAGCTTAGCAAAATATCTCTTTTTGTTTTTTCATCCTTTTTCAGCAAAGATATTTGGTAACGCGTTTCTAGAAAATTTTCTTCCATCGAAAAATCTCTCGTGAAGTTTTATAAATGAGGCAATCGATATATTTATACATCTTAAATAGTTTATGTTGCGGAAGTTCGTAAAATAAAACAGCTCGCTTGCGTATAAAATAAGACGCCAAGAATTTTATTCAACATAAATTAAAAATTTTCTTACTACGAGTTACTACGAGTTTACTATAACTTTTTTGTTATACGTAACAAATATGTTAACAAATTAGTTCTCTTCTTCAAAATTTCCTTGAGTAAAACACGACGAAGAAAAAATAGTTTGGATTAACTAGTTTTTAACAAAAAGATTGCATTCTCGAGAATGGATCCTTTTACGATTTAGCATCGTTTGATTTAGTCAACATGTGCAATGAGGAAGTATTCGATTAATTATTGATCCACTCCAAGAAACAGAGAATCTTCCTGATGTTTCTTTGCATTCCGCGAATCTAATTACGTTTACTTAATAATTCCTCTCTATCCCTAGTAGCAAGAAATATTTAGTGATTTAACGTTCGAATCTTTGATACAACGTTCCGTTAGTTGATTAACTTCTCTGTACCTAATTCCTTTGATCGTTTGATCAATCATTGGACAGACAGTTTGATAATAAGAAGAATTACTGCAAGACAGCCTTATATGGCATCATGCGTGAAAAGAGCTCATTAATTCGTCAGAATAAAAATTGTTTAAAAAAATTGATCTTATCTTTGAATTATTAAATTGCTTTTCAAAATAAATTATCTTGGTGTTCACGTTATCTCGAGACGTCCCGTAGTCAAAAAATCCGTCCGAACATTAGTTTCCTACTTCTAAGATCCATTTAAAATCATCACGCGCTACAAAACAAAATTTTTCGTAAATAATCAGAAATAGTAAGATAAATGTTCAAAATAAATGAAAATGTGCCGAGTGAATCGTGACAGCGCCTAGAACGGGATCAATTCGAAATCCTAAATGTTCCGACCTTTTTGATAAAGTTGACTTCTATCAAAGCTAGTTCAAGTTGTAAAAAAAAATCGAATATTACACGATTCTCCTTTGTAGAAGTAGAAGGAATGACAGTTCGTATTGGAACCGAAAGTACTTGCCACAGACAAGAGGTATTTACTCTACATTTTCCTCGAAGCTTAATGTATAAAGTTTATATTCTCATTCCCTACAGATACAGTCCAAACAAAGTTAAATGAAAAAGAAAAAAGAAAAAGACAAGACACGTGCTACTTCCCGCGGAAACTTGCCACAAAATCACGTCTCGATCGAAGTTCGAAAAGAGTTAAAGACCCGCAACCCTGGAAGGTTGGAGCATCGCGTGGCGTACGAGGGTCGCGCGTGTCGGTCGGGGAGTGCCTCGATGGTTCGCGTCGCGTTGGCAGCGTCGCGCCAGCCTCTGGGGTATATCTCTCCTATTCGCTCGGTCGTGGGACGTCCCCTCGTGGATCGTGGCGGCTGGATCGTCTGGTGGGGCAGCTCTAGGAGTAGTTGCACGTGGTGGTCGCATATCCTCCGGCGAAATTTCGGTCGCGTCGTCTGTACGCGTGCACAAACTGGAGAGGAGGTAATCTCTTTCTCTCTCTTTCTCGCCTCCGTTCTCTTATCCTTGGCGCTCGCCAGGCTGCAGAGGTCTGGGTAGGGCGAGAATTCTTAAGGCAACGATGTAGTGGTGGTGATGGTGGTGGTGGTGGTGGT